GTGTTCTACCTACATATGTCATCTGAAGAGGGCTTTCCTAATTTTCCTTATCATCTGCATTCTGACAACAATCTTATGGGATAAGAATGTTAGTCTGTCACACTAAAAATAAATAGGAGTCTTACGGCACCTTAAAAGATAACAAGATTTTATTCTAGCATAAACCCTCTCATGAACTACAGTCCGGAGGAGTGAAAAACAAGTCAACAAAGCCAAACCAGTCTCCAGAAATATGACAGGCCCCAAAGTGAAAACAAAACAAAATAGAATAACACTGCTTGTCACTAAAGCTCCCAATTCAAACCAGTTTACAATTTTGGTTCATCTAGTCCAACGTTCTGTTTCCCACCGTTAAATAGCCCCGTACTTAGGACTGTGATGCCTTTACTTTCTCAAAGGATATGTCTCCTAGAGTGTGCTGCAAAGAAGTTATCTCGCTTGGGTAGGGCAGAAGAGCAGAACAGAGTGGACTGTGCTCTGAAATCCATCTTTTGCCCCCACTGCTGTTAATGCTGAGCTAGTCCCTGCCTTCAGCAAGCTCATGTACTTGAAAAGTTCAGAAACAGCAACAACAACAGCTGAATGGAGTGATGGTCTCAGTTCATTCTGCTTATCATCGAGACTCTGCAAAATTCATAACTGACTCAATTTCATATGACCAAATTTCATACTCCAGCAATCAACGCTCATACGCCTGTAAATGCGTATGTTCATAGTCCAAAAGGGGGCCCCTGGCTAACCCAGCATGTCCACCTCCTTGTTCATCATCTGGGGTGATTAAGTCCAAGCTCTTAGAGGCAGAGAAACTTTCTCCTGCTTTGTGAGAAGGCAAGAGATAGTGCGCACACAGGTGCATAAGGAAGAGATTTATTGTGCTACAAATGAGACAAGAGATGGCTGGATTTTGCTCAGGCAGACATGCACCCAGTTACAGACAGGGACATACCTGGAGTTAGCCCTGTTGCTGCCGTAGTGTAGAAAGAGAACCACTGTGACAGCTCACCCCAAGGGAATGAGAGTAACCCTGAACATGGGGGTGCATTGGCTCTCATAACCCCTTTCCTGTATTTGCTGCTCTTCTTTCCTTGGATTGGCTTATGTCACCTGGGACAAGGGTCTATGCCTGTACCCAGGGAGGACCCACAGCTAGCTGTAGTGTTATTTTTGTCACTTATAGATAAGAGAACCTTGTGTTCTGAATTAGGACTTAATTTGATTGAAACCAAGTCATGGGTGTTAATGGTCCGTTACTGGCTTAAATTGTATTTTAACATTGAAGATGGTTCGCTCTTGTCCTTTCTGTTTAAGGAAATTCATTGTACCTCTTGGGACTATAATATTCGATCCAAAATAAGATCTATGGGCCTCTCCTTGGAGGAGCTAGCTTTTTCCTCTGAAGTGTATATCTTTAAAACAATCAAACAGAGGCTTTTAGATATTGAATTTCAAAAATTGCAGCCCTTTCATCCCCGTCTGCTCTTCAGCTACATTAAATCTTAAGAATGTTGTGGGATGTATTCCCCAGTATTTGTATAATCTTGATAGTCCTAGCCATCGAAGAGCTTTCTCCCTTGCACGAGTAAATGCCTTTCCATCAAAACTACTGTATGGTAGGTTTCAAAATATTCCTAAGCACGAACAAAGATGTGACTGTGGCTCTAACTCTCTTGACTCAATTGATCACATACTGTTAGACTGTTCGTTGCATGCATTTGCTAGGGAAAAATGGTTAAATACTTGGTTGCATGGTAAACATCACCTTCCCAATAAAATAAAATGTCAAATTCTATTGAATGATACAACAGCAGAGATTACTGTGACAGTGGCCAATTTTTTAGTTGATGTGATAAGAGTGAAAAACTTGGGAAACTCCGTTTCATGATCTTATAATTATCTCAGACTTTTAGTTGATTGTGTCATTTACTGTCTCTGATTTTAATGTTATGTATGCCATTAAAGGTCTATTGATTGATTGATTGATTGATTGATTGATAAGAGAACCAAGGCCCTGTTGTTCTTTTTCTCTCTAGGATTCTCAAAGATTCACCAGGGCCTGTGCTAAGGGTCCTGCACTATAATTCTGACACACTGGAAAAGAGAATGAAAGATAGCTACGGTTCTGATCTCTGAGCTGTGCTCAAATCAGAGGAGAGCCAGGGTTGCCCCTACCTGTCCCCGACCAGACCCCCTCTCGCTCTCCAGCAGAGGTCTCTTGTTTCCAAGGAGGTGACCCTCTGGGGCTCCATAAAGAGGGCCTGGTGCAACCAGGGAGTGGAAGGTGTATGCAGAGGTCACATAGGCAGGGTGAGACGAACTCCTGTGGCATCACTGTGCTCCCCTTGTCCCACTGGTAGGCCGGCCCTTCCCTCTGGCCTGGGCCCAGTCTCGTGGATGAGATGTTGGCACAGGCTGGAGAAGTTCTGGAACTTGGATGGTCTGGCGTAAAATGTTGGCAGCCATGGGATGGACCCATGATGACTGTCATGTCTAATTTGAGCTTCTCACTCTGGGGAGAGGCAGATGGGTCTGAGAGACAGCAGCAGAGGCTGGTGGCAGCTGCAGCAGAAAGGGCCTTACAAGAAGCAGCTCTTATAATCCCAAAAACCTGTGGTGAAAGTGGCCCCTGCCCCTCCTAGCTTTGAAAAGTAGAAGAGTCATGTGTGCTGAGAACTCTTTTCAAAACTGGCAGTGTGTTATCTGCACTGGTGGGCTCAGCTGAGCTTCTGGGGGCAGGGTCTGGACTTGTACCCCAAATTCGGGTCATAAGATTATTTCTGCTACATCCTTTTTGAGAGGTGATGATGAAAACTATATATAGTATTCCAAATGGGACGATACTATATGTCTATACAATGGCTTTATGAATCTTATGGTTTTCTTTTGGCTCCCTTTCCTAGTTATCTCTACCTTTTTCATTGCTGCCAGTCACAGAGTCATCATATTTGTTGAACTGTCCACCAAAGCTGTAAGACTGCTTTACTGGTTAGTTATTGCCAGCTTAGCCACCCACCAGTCTGTTTATAAAGATAGGATGGTTTTCACTTTCCCATATAATTTGGTATCATTTGACATCCCCAGCAGCACCAGTCCCAGTTCAGATCTCTGGGGGACACCCCTGCTAACTTCCCATCGTTATGCCAAGTTATCCTCTGTTTCCCAGGAGTTAATGAGTTAATAATCCACAAGAGAGCCCATCTTGTCCCATGACTGAAAGTTCATAGGAGCCTTGGTGAAGGACTTTGTCAACCACTATTTAGAATTCCATTATATAATATATAACTATAATGGCATAGGTTTATGTTCTTGTAACACTCTTAAAGAACTCCAGAATCTTGAGGCAGGACTCTAGTGTGGCTCAGCTAAATTGTCCAGTTGGCTGTTCCATTCACTGGGACTGTTAACTTTCCTGTCTGTTTGTGGCCCTCTTCCTCCCCTGTATGCTTCCTAATAACTGACCACACTTGGGTCGGTCTTAGTGATTCTGTGGTCCTGACCAACATCTGGGCTGGAGCCCCAAAGTCACTGTTCCCACCTCTGGCTCAAGCAAGGAGCAGCCCAAGTTCCATGTGAGCTGGGTGGTAGTTAGGGCTGCCAGCCTCCAGGTGGGGCCTGGGGATCTCGCGCTTTTGCAACTGATCTCCAGCTGGCAGAGATCAGCTCCCCTGGAGAAAATGGCTGCTTTGAAGGGTGGACTCTATGGCATTGTACCATGCTGAGGCCCCTCCCCTCCCCAAACCCCGGCCTCTCCTAGCTCCACCCCCAAAATCTCCAAGTATTTCCCAGACCTGGCAACCCTAGTGGTAATTGGAGTCCCAGACAGGGTGGCACAATTGGCCACCACTGAGACAGCTGTCCAAACCCCAGACTGGGCAGACACAAGTGGTGGCTGTGTGAGTCTTCTTTTTTTCCCCCTCTGTTGGGGGTGCAGGTCCATAGGTGTTTGTCTCTCCCACCCCGCAAGGGCCCATGGCAGCTGGCCCAGTTTCCCATTGGTTAAGACTAGCCTTGAGCACAGTGGCAAACAGCATTAGGGAAGGGGCAAGAGTGTCAGTGGTGAAGTGAGAGGAGTCAGAATCCAGTAGCCTGATGTAAGTGACAGGATGCTGAGCTCAGATAATATAAACTAACATAAATATATTTAAATCTTTCTTCAGGGAGAAAAATGGGGCTAATCCTTGAGAAACTGGAGTTATGTAGAAGCAAAAAAATCACATTACAAGAAGTCCTGGAAATCAGTGAAGGAAATCTAAAGGAATGTACCCCTCTTAAATTGGGAGACCTGCCACGGCATTTTCTGAGGAAGGTCTTGGCTCTGAATGTGACAGCCAGGAGCACCAGCCTTGGACCAAAACCCAAGCATAACAATAAAAAATGGAAAAAAGAGGAAGCAGGAAAGAAGGTTGTTGGGAGCAGTTTCTTTAGTGAAAAAAGAGAGAGTGTTTCCATGAACCCCCTTGATGTCCTTTGTGCTGTTCTGTTTTCTTCAGATCATTTCCTCCAGCAGCAGATACTCCTCAAAATGTCCATGTGCCAGTTTGCCCTGCCTTTACTCTTGCCTCCTTTAGAGACTTCCCATTGCACCCTAATGCTGTGGGCCATGAGGGACATTGTGAAAACATGGAGGCCCCATTCCCTGGCTGACAGCAGGGGTTTTAGAGAGGAGAGCCTGGTGCTCATATCCATGCCAACCATCTCTTTTGTGCGGATGGGAAAATCGAGTTTCTCCAAGTCCAAATTTGTCAATCAGTTTCTAAGCTCCTCCCAGCAGCACCACGATTTCTTTGTACACCGGGACATGAAGGGAGGGAACATCCCTCGAGAAATTGCCAATGGTCTTGTAGAAGTTTCTTGGTATTTGCCAGGAGAGCAAAAGAGGTCGAGTCTCCTACCAGAAGCAGTTGCTCTAGCAAATCTCCGTGGTGATTTTGAGTCACATTTGGTGCAATTTAAATTTTTAACACAAGTTTCCTCAGCTGTGTTTATATTTGCTGAACACATAGGGGAGAGAGAATATTCTGTCTTGTCATCACTGACAGAACTATCCATCCAGTACTATTTTATCATCCTGAAATGTAATGGAAATGAATTTGATGAAACTTTGTTTTTCTTAGAACAATTGTCTTCAGTGCTTAATTTCAACAATTCACATGTATTAATAAAAAGTGCTACAATAAATGAGGCAGAATTTGTGGAAAAGTTGCAGTCTATGATTAAAAGCATAGTCATCACCACTCAATGCAAAAAAATAAGTGTACAAAACATGGCTACGGTGGCCCGTGAGCTTAAAATCCTGGTGGATGAGGACTGCAAAGAATGTCAGAAAGCTCTTGAATGGGCTGGAGAAATCACGCAAGACATAAAAGATGTAGCAGTTTACAAGGCAAAAAATCTAAAACTCCAAAGTGATCTTGGGAAAAAATTGGCAAAAGTGGAGAAAGAATTGTGCAGGATGAAAAGACACGGAGACATGCCTCCAGAGAATTACAGAACAAAACTGAAAGGCCAGCTGATAAAGTGGCGTGAACAGCAGTATCAATGCAATCTCACTCCTAGCTTTCAAAATTTTATTAATGGCATCAAACATACACAGCCAGCAAAGAAGCACTACTTCTTAAAATGGATTAAGTTCAACCTGGATAATATTGGTAGGAGAAATAAGTTACAGGCTGACCACAAAGAGTCTTCCTTGGGAGTTGAGCACTTCATGCGTGAACTGGGCCAGTTTTATGAAGCAGAACATTCAGTGATTAAAAACAGCAAAATTGGAAGATCCAAACCTCAGTTTGCTGATTTCCCCAGCACTGCTGCTGACCTGATGCTGGAAGGGTTTCCTTTAGAGCTGATTGATGGAGATGCTTCCAACATCCCCTTGCAGTGGATAACTGATGTTTTGAGTAAAGTCCATCAAAAACTGAGAAAGCGGTCCCGAATGTTTGTGATAACTGTACTGGGAGTGCAGAGCACTGGGAAATCCACCCTTCTCAACACCATGTTTGGGCTGCAGTTTGCTGTGAGCAGTGGTCGATGTACACGAGGGGCCTTCATGACTCTTCTTAAGGTCCGGGAGAACCTGATTCAGGAGCTGGGCTGTGAGTTCATCCTGGTCATCGACACAGAAGGCTTGAAAGCTCCTGAACTGGCCAAACTGGAAGACAGCTATCAACACGACAATGAGTTGGCCACTCTGGTGATTGGGCTGAGTGATGTAACAATTGTGAACATGGCCATGGAGAATGCCGCCGAAATGAAGGACATCCTGCAGATTGTGACTCATGCCTTCCTGCGGATGGAGGGAATTGGGCAAAAACCCAACTGCCAGTTTGTGCATCAGAACGTCAGTGATGTTTCTGCACATGACCAAAACAGGAAAGATAGGAAACTACTTTTGGAACAGCTTGATGAATTGACTAAAAGTGTAGCAAAAATGGAAAAGCTTGACAGGGAGATCAAGTTTTCAGATATCATGGACTATGACTCTGAAATGCACAATTGGTATATTCCAAGTCTGTGGCACGGAGTGCCACCTATGGCTTCAGTGAACGTGGCATACAGTGAAAAAGTGTTTGAGCTAAAGCAGTGCCTTTTTGAAATCATGAGATCACATAAAAGACCTTCCAGGGACATCCCTCAGTTTATTGAATGGGTGAAAAGTTTGTGGAATGCTGTGAAACATGAAAACTTCATTTTCAGTTTCCGGAACAGCCTAATAGCAGAAGCCTATACCAGTTTATCAATGAAATATTCTGAATGGGACTGGGCTTTCCGCAGAGAGATGCACTTCTGGGTTTCTGAACAGGAAACTATGATACAGAATGCTCCCCATGATGAATCTGATTGCCAGAACTGGCAGCATGAACTTCATCAGAAACTGAAATGTGAAGAACTACAGATATTGGAGAATTTGAGCAAATACTTTGAAAGTGGAGCATCAAATCTGCATCTAGTAGAAAAGTACAGAGAAGATTTTGTCAGGAGTGCCAAAAGCCTCCACCGTGAACTTTACAGTTCTTCATCTAGCAAAATTCAAGATGCCATTCGCATTAAAAAAGCTCAGGAAAAGATTGATGCTCTCCAAGATGAATATCTGAAAACAATTGAAGGAAAGGTCGACGGACTTCTTGAACAGTGCAGGCAAAGAGACCACAAATTGCAAGGTGAAGAGCTGAAAAGGGAATTTGACAGAATGTGGGGAGAAACATTAATGGAAATATCACCCATAGGCTTACAGCAACTCAAAATAGATTCAGAAGTAGAACAACATCTGACAAAAGAGTTGGATTCTCGAGGAAGGCTAGTCAACCAAAAATTAGAGACAGGTGGTTTGTTACGCTATAGGATACACAATTTCAGAATGAAAGACGTATATATATCCTCACCAGGGCAGTGCCTTATGAAGCAAAATTTTGCTGAAGATGATTATTTGTGTAGAGTAAAAGAACTTGTTGACTCCTTGATTGACAAATGCAGGTCATACATTGATGAAAAAGTCAGTTCCAAAGGAGACTATGATGCCACTTATTGCAGTGAACTTTTGCATATGATCAACGAGAAGCTTAAAGAAGGTGATATTCAGAAACTTCATACAACACCTTCCTTTGAAGTGGACCTAAAGCTTCATATTTTGGGAGAAGCAGCTCATTTATTTCAGAAGATGCATGACAATTTTATTAAGGAAAATGATCCCCGTATACGCCTGGATAGACTGAAATCTCAGTATTTCTCCACTTTCACAGATCTTTACCTGGAAAAAGATGCCCAGCAAAGCAGGGCTAAGGATTTCTGTGACCAGTGCCTCCATCCTGCTTTTGTGGATTATGTCAACAAAAGACTTGGAGTAGAAATAGTGGACGATCTTCTTGCCAGCACACAGTCCATTGAATATGCCAGTCGGAGCTTCTTCCAGTTTACTGTCCTGAAGGAGCTGTTGGACAAGAAAGATTTTGACCAATATGTGAAATACCTCAAAGACTACGAGACGTTTGTCAAGAGCTGGATCTTGAGACAAGTGCTGCATCACTTTTCAGAAAATGAGGGCTTGAAGAACTTGGAGAAACGGATTCTGACTGCTATACAAAAGAATGTAACTGAAACCCTGAAAAACCTGAAGCATAAATACTCTGAAATATGGGAGTGTTTGGACAATTTTTGCCAAGAAATGCAGAAATATTTGGTCATTTCTAAGGATAGTCTCCGGGGGATACAATTTAGGAATATGTCTGATCCTGGGCAATTTTTTGACTACGTAGAAAACTTTCTTCCTGATTTGGAAAAACGAATACTGTATGAGTTTGATGTCTTGAGTATTGAATCCAAACTCTCCAAATTGCCTGTGAAGCCCCAGGATGAAATCTTCAAGCGAGTGTTTGGCTGTGGGAAGCAGTGTCCCTTCTGCAAAGTGCCCTGTGAAGCTGGAGGGAGTGACCATAAGGAACATTTTGCAGCTGTCCATCGGCCCCAAGGGTTAGGAAGATACAAAAAGATATTATCAAACAAGCTAGATTATAGTCTGTGCTCCACAGATGTGGCTTCCGAAGTCAAATTCATAAATTCAAAAACAAACTGGGAATCGCATCCTTACAAAGATTACCGGGTCTATTATCCAGACTGGTGCATCCAACCAGATCCCAGTATCAACGCTTCTGACTACTGGAAGTTTGTTTTTAGAGAGTTCAATCATAAATTTGCAGCATGCTATGAAGCCAAGCCAGCAGATTTGCCAGAAGATTGGGAAAACATAACCCAGGAACAAGCATTGGAGGCCTTGAATGCAACCTATAATATGAAACAAGCACCCCTGCCTTGAGAGCATCTGTTTTAAAGAATACCGAATAACAGAGATTACAAGAAAACTTCAGCATTCATGAGAGCCATCCACTGTAAGTAGTCTGTGTTGTCGTCCCCCCCTTTCATATGCACATCCCTCCCTCTCAGCCTGAGTGTATGTGCTACACGTGTAACACCATGAGCAAGTCATGGGAGCCATGAGGCAAGCAAAGACCATGGGGAGCAATTGCCAAGTTTTGTGTTTCTAGATGGATCCTGCAGCAATGAATACAGCCATGATCTCGCATCAACATCAACATTCAAGGAAGCCTTTTGGGGAGAAATCAGGGAGGGCAAGTTCTGCAAATAGGAGAGAGGCAATCGAGTCAAAACAGGCTAGAAAAAAAATGCCTCTCCCTGTATTGTTTTTTACATGGTATGTGCTGGGCATCAGGACAGTTCAGACATTAAGTACTACGTGGCAATCTGGAACCTCTGATTCAGAACTTCCCATTATCGCAAAGTTCCCACTGAATATACGACTCAGTGTCATGGTCATGTTTCCAGTTCTGTAGTTCTGAATTGTAGTTCAGTCACTGAGTTTCCTTCTGGCTGCCCTTTCCTGCTGATTTGATAAGCACGCTCACATTTTGATAAGTCTTCTCCCAATAGTTCACTCAATTCCCAAGTTATTCCTTTATCTTCTGTCAAAATCCTTTGTTTTCTGAAAATAATCCATGTTATCCTATGGGACCAAAACAGTATAACTAGCCTGGCTTCAGAGCTAGAAATATGAGTTTGATCCTGGCTACAGCATGGACTACAACTCAGGCTCCCAGCACACTGGATCCTTCATTCTTTCATCTGATTTCTACACAGACTAGGGCAGGCATATCTTTTGCTCCCCATCTTCATCTATCTCCCTTTATTTTCCAAACTGTCCTACACCACCCAGAGAGATGATGCTTTGCTTCTCCCTGCTATTTAAGCCTCACATTTGGATAACTGGACACCTTTGTCCCAACTGATTCCACTTCTCCTCTGTCCTGTTCTCAATTTCCCCCACATTTACATCTTTTAACTTAAAAGTAACTCCTGCTCCAAACTAGAGCAGCTCTGGTTGATTTTTTGTTGTTGTTATACTGTTAAGTTGGATAAGGAACGTGCTATTTATGTATGCTTTGACTTAGTATTTGCTTAGGATGAGTCTCCCCCCACCCACTATTGCACAAATCCCTCAACTATTGGACAAATCCCTCAATAAACGCCATACTCCTTTTAAAAACCTTTACATTAGGTGTCTCTCATCCTTCTCCTCATCCTTTTCCTGATGAAATTTGCTACACACATTCAACTCTTTAGGTAAAAGATCCCAGTTTTGCACTACCTACACAAACACACAAGCAAATTTCCCATGTCAGTTTGAACACATGTTCATGTGTTTGGGAGTGTGTGATAATCTCAAGGTGCTATAGCAGTGCACATAACTGGCATCTTGGCAAAGTGAACAAAGCAATCGTGTCTTTATTTTCATATGATAACTATCAGATTAGTGATAACAGTCAGCAGCCATTTAATTCCCCGACAAGTAGGCACCAGTGGTCCCTCTAAGCTGAGTTAGTGTGAGCTAGCTCACAGTTTTTTAGCCTCCGGCTAACAGTTTTTTGTCTTAGCTCAGGAAGAATGGCTCCAGAACAAACTAATTCATGCAGCAGCCAAATCGCTCGCTCACAACTTTAATGCCAGGAGCTCACCAAGTAGAATTTTTGCTCACAGGACTCCACAGCTTAGAGGGAGCCTTGGTAGGCACTCTAGCCCAGTTCCCCCCCCTTCGGAAAAGAAAACCAAGCCCAGATCCCCTCTCTATTTCTTCCTGGTTTTGTTGTCTCTGAAGCTTAGCAGATGGGACAGATGTACCTTCCACAGAAAAATTATGCCTTCTATCAAGTATGCAACCCTTTCTTGGGTAATACAGAAAAGCCCCCTTGAAACAGGTGCTCCCCAAGCACACCCAACCAAGGCTAAACTCACAATAGTGTCATACAGGGCCTTTGCTTGCCCCGTCTCAGTCTCTGTCTGGAGTTCTCTTCACACAGCTGGGTTTCATAAAAATAAATGTTTGAGGTGGGTTTTCATCCTATTCCCTCCCCCGTTTGTTCTTTCCTCTCTCAGTCCTGTCTCCATGGCTGCTATTAAGATACCCTCTCTTCAACTGCAGTATATAGGAAACTACTGGTTAAACTCGAGCAGCACTAGTATAAGAGGGTTATTTGGGCTGCAAAACAAAAGTCCAGTGGCACCTATGGACTCTAGCCTCCCTCTGCCTTGCCCTCTTTTCTTATCATCCTCTTTGATAATGATAATATTTGTAGCTTTCAGTCAACTGGTGCACTTAGCAGAAAGCCAAATATGAATTGTGTTCAGGGAACTTGTATTTGAACAAAAATGAGAAGTTGCTTTTTTTTTTAATACACGGGGTAATTACAGCTGTGAATTCTCTAAGGGAATGGGTAACACTTCCAACAACGTATCTGACCACTGTCTTTTGAACTCTCATTTCAGTGCTTGTTCTTCTAATCTGTACTCATTTACCCTGCATTCATCAAAAGACATAGCAGCATTCCCCTGAATTATTCTCAGATATTCAGCCTGATGAATGTCAAATTTGTATCAAATCTTTCTCATGTGAATGGCATTTTTACATTTCTTATAAGCATAACTTTCAAGCTTTAGTGAGGCCACTGGCACTCCTGACAAGGTCTTCTCTGTATTTTCCTACCAGATTTGCTGCCCTGCTTGCTAAGCATTGCTTCATACTGTCCAAAGTATGGTGTTCTCCATATGATAGCTTCTACTGAACTTTACACTGCCAGTTGCAGAGGTCAAGTTCATCAGGAGAAAGCTTCTTGTTCACACACCCAGAAGTGCATAACTCTGTGGAAACCCTAGTCCTACTTGGATATTTCACTGACAGATCAGAATAAGCTTTTGCTATGATGAAGCTGGTTTGAAAGATGATGCTGAAACCCGCATGCTTCATAGCATCCCACAAATTCTGCACACTTTGAATAAACGGAAGAATGTTCCTGGGAATTTATTTAGCTGAGTAATTTATGTATTTAAATAGACAAGTGGAAACCTTCAAGGACTTGTGGGGGACATCTCATTCCCCCCTCCCCCACTATTTCCTCTTCCCCTTTCCTGAAAGCCCCCATAGCCTCTCCCCTTTTCCTTAGGGTTGCTAGCTCCAGGTTGGAAAATTCCTGGAAATTTGGGGGTGGAGACTTGGGAGGCAAGGTTTGGGGAGGGAAGTGACTTCAGCAGGGTGTAATGCCATACAGTCTACCCCTCTAAAGCAGCCATTTTCTCCAGAGGACTCAAGGACTTGGGGGGGGGGCACATAATTTTCCCTTGTATTCCCTTCCCCGCATTATTTGCCTTCTCCCTCCTCCCGGCAGCCCCCATATCTTCTCCCATTCCCTGCCTTATTTTCTTGTTCTCAGCCACTCACCAACCTACCTTTATCCTGCCTCTCGTCTTCAGCTATATTTACTATATTTATACCTTGCCTCTGGGCACAGTGGGGAACAAAGGAGCTCACACAGCTTTCTCCTCTCCTCCATTTTGTCTTTACAGCATCCCTGTGAGGCAGGTTTAGACTGAGCGTGTGTGAGTAGCCCAAGGTCAACCAGCACCCTTTGGTGGTGGTGGTGGTTTGAACCTGATTCCCCAGATTGTAGTCCAACACTTCAGTTACTACACCACAGTGGCTTTCCACAGTAAATTAAGGGAGCAGCACAGAATGTTGTGGAAATAAAATAGAACAAACCAGTTGGCGACCATTGAGGATGGGGAATGGGCAGGGGTCGTTTCGTAGAAAAAGAGCTAGGGGAACTCATTAGCATAACTCATTAGCATATGCCACACCCCCTGACATCAGGGGCCCGGCGGTGGACCTGCAAGGCCGGCGGGAGTGCGAGGAAGCCCCGCCAAGGCCCTCCCTGGCCCCAGGGAGGCAGGGGTGGGGAGAGGCGGGGAGGAAGCAACTTACCCTCCCTCTTCTCCTGCCTCCTCCTGGCTGAATGAGGGCTGGAAGCGGGGCGGCCGGAAGCAGGGGGCGGACTTCGTCATGTGCCCCGCCCCCTGCACCTCACCCGGGGGGAACGTTCCCCCGCAATCCCCCCCGAAATGACCTCTGGGAATGGGACAGTATCAACAATGCAGAGTTCGTTGGAGCACCTTCCAATTTGCAGTCCAGAAGGAGGAATTTTAGCAACAAGATCATAACTAATGAAGAGTTTGCCAAGACCTGGATCTAGAGACAAGTGTGGAATCGCTACGCTAAACTGAAGATCTTAAGAACCTGGAGGAAAACATGAGAAAACCTGATGCATAAAGATGCTGAGATCATATTGGAAATTTGGGACACTTTTTGCCAAGAGCTGTAAGAAAGCTTTAGCTGTTTTCAAGCAATGCCTAACAGTAGGAGTATAGTTTAATAATACACTGATTTGGCAAGTGTTTATATACAGGTTGAAAATTTTCTTCTTGACTATCTAAAGTATTAAACTGAAAATCTGATTATGGTGTTTAACTATATAATCCAATGGTTTACAATGAAAAATTGTTAATAAACATAATTGTTTTCCAAGCAAAACTTCTGAGTACGCAGACTGAAGTGGACACACAGGGAAAGCAGAGTGCTTTTTAGCATGCCTTGATTGGGTCACATATTGTGGAGAAACTAAGTCATTAAATTGTTAGGAGGAAAAGTCTTCATGTCTGCCTTCAGATTCCTCTTTTCTGTTTCCACAGAATGGGTCTGCACAGAATAGATGAAAGAGGCAGCATTTTATTCAATAAAGGCATACAAGGCCTACAAGAGAGCTCTTAAAATCGAAGTCAGCTGCACCTGATCTATATAACTCTCCCTGGCAGTCTCCTAGTGTCATTCTAAGCAAAGTTGAACACTTTTAAGGCCACTGAAGGCAAGAGGCTTAGAAGGGCGTAACTCTGCTTCCCTGCATTGTTGGTCTAGGA